TTTGATTAAGTCTTTTATCGTGTAAATGATTTTGTAATTTAAATTTTATTAATATACACCTTTAAACAGCCTTCTGTAAAACACAATTAATTTGTGATCAAGTCATTATTATTATTGGCTTTCCCAGCAGTTCTGGGCAGCGACGCAACGATGGGGCCGGGGCCCTGTGGCTTTTCGAGACTGGGGCCCTTTCCGGTCACGGTCGCCAATTACATTGTGGGGTTTAGATGTGTTTTAAATCATGTTTGTCATTGTATAATTGTTTTAATGATTGTAAAATTGCATATTAGTGGAGTAGGAATTTAAAATAGAGGGCCCAGTGACTTTCATAGAAGAAGGGTCTGTACCACCTTTATTATGACACCTCTAGATATGATGACCGGAAATGGCACGCACTGACTTCAAATTTGAATATTTTTTGTTTTTGTTTTTTGTTTCTTTTAAATCATTATTTCTTTTTTACAAATTTGATAAATTAATTATTCCCTTAATCTGTCACTGGATATAATACAATATGTCCTACAGTCAATGTCAGAGACACATTATTCTGTTATGTATCAACAATGTTCTTTTCTGACCAAGGACCCTATAGGTAGGGGCCCCGGGGCCCCTAGATATTGGGGGCCCTGCGGATCACCGCATGAGAGCGTATAAGCGTTACGCCACTGGTTCTGGGAAATCCATTGTTTTTGTTCTGATATTTTTTTCTTTTTCTTACATATATTTTTCCTATTTTTTTTGCACTGTTTTTTTCTGGCCGTCACTTTGGTCACTTCCCATGCTTAGAATTTTTCTGTGCTTTGCCGAATCATAGGCCATACATCAAGGATGTGCCTCCTAATATTTAGTGTCAATCTATGGTGACAGACAGACATAGTAAGTCTAGTTAAAATTATAATTATAAATATTATAAATGTAACTCGGTATTAAAGGAATGATGGTATAAAAACTAATCAGCTCTACTTTCCATGCCTCCTAATGAGATTATATAACACCTTTTAACTTAACAAGCTTCTTAATAAGAATAGGTTACATATATAGCATTTAAGATTACAGATAATGAGATTCCCTGAGAAAGGCAATATGGAATATCAAAATCAATATTAAAGTTATGTAAAGTCAAACCATTCACTCAACACAAAAAAATATCAATTTTTAGTTATTAATACAGGGTTAAGCAGTAAATATAAAAGATAAAAAAAGAATCATTTAAATCCAACATTTCGTTATACAGTTTAAAGCGTTTAAATATACAGCGATTTTGGCCATTTCTAATTCATAAAAAAATATTTTTATGGGGAAAATGACTACATAGCATGATGTACAGATATATAAAGTTAGTTTAGTGTAATAAAATATATTTCAAAAATAATGACATTCCAACATTTTGGCCATTATCTCCGAAACACAATTTGCAAGCAACGATTGGTTTGGCTTGTCTCTGCCACAAATTATGTAATTATTAAACTACTATAACATTATCATAAATATTATCATCATCATCAACACTATCATGATGAAAGTTATAATCAACTTCTATGTCGTCATCATCATCATCATCATCATCATCATCATCATCATCATCATCACCATCATCATCATCATCAATGTCAACTCACCACAACTTTACAATAAGGCAAAACCATATCACCTATTCACAACACCACCTTATTACTATTTCACAATATATCAACACATTACAATTCACAAGACAGTGAAATCATACAATTTCACAGGACAGTGAAACCATACAATTTCACAGGACAGTGAAACCATACATTTTCACAAGATAGTGATACTGCACGATTTCAGAGGTTGGCGACACCTTACCAAATACAAAAACATGGTCACACCAGGACCAAATTGGAAAAAGTGGTTTTAAATGAGTTATGCATGTTTCAAATAAAACAAAAACAATAACTCCCATATGACACAGACATATTTTAATATTAGATTTAGTATTTCTGAAAATGATCAAATAGATCGAAATGTTAAATCTCAAAATGTCTCTGTCTGTTTTTTGGAGATCCCCTGGTTCTACCTATGGTTATAGACATGGTTATTCTTAGTAATTCAGATTTCAAGGACCATTTTTGGGTAGTATTCTTATCATATGTAATACTATATTCACTGAGATAAGCAATCCTTTTTAAATAAGGAATAAAGCTATTCTTGAATAAATCGATATACAGCATATATTATATTTTCTACCAAATAAATTCAATCAATCAATCAATATTAATCTCACAGTTATTGCCACACCACGCAATTTATCACGCAACAAGGTTAATGAATATTTATTAGCTCACCAGGAGGGTTGATCAATATGCATATCAATACTGTATTATTATAGTCTTTACCTTAAGTTTCGCAAATTTTCAACAGCTTCCTTATAGCATATATCAGTAGTTTCAGAGTACCTCTATAAAAACAATAAAAAAAAAAACAATTAAATAAATGTATCGCAATGATTTATCAAATACAAAAAAAAATATACAATATACTATAAAAATTAAGTTGCAATTAAAAAAAAAACCTGTAAAATAATAAAAAAAATTCCTAATATCGACAGCTTGAAAAACATAACTTTTCATTTCAACAACAAATACACTAATCAATTACATGACAGAACAATATGATCATGATGACAATGATTAGGAGAGTCATTATCATCGGGATTATCATGATCACGATGATAATCATCATCATTATGATTATCATCCCTAACATCAAATTACAATCAACACTATAAACATAATTTTACTATCATAATGCAAGGCTGTTTTTATACCTTGTTATATTGCCAATAATGATGATTAAAATAAAATTTTATTTTTATCGACCATGAAAAAATGGAAATTTCAGAAAAAAAACATTTTTTAAAAATTTATTTTTATTTTCACCCATGGCTGCCTTAAAATCTCCCAAAATAAGATATCTATATTTCTTCTTTAATTATATAATTTTAAATCATTTATCAATCCCATTTTTCAATACAATTTTATTTTTATTTTCGTTTTGCCTGGATGCTTTAGGAAAAACTATTTGCTAAATAGGAAAACAAAACTTAAGTTCGCTAAACAAGAAATAAAGAGAATCTTGCCTAATCATCAATATTACTTATATCAATATCATTATCATCATTATTATTATCCTCATTACTATCACAGCATCATCATTATCAACAATATCAACTTATCATTACCATGATCTATGATCAACAAGCCCACCAGAAATGAGCCAATTCAACTGCCAGCATTGGATCCAATCTGTGCTTTCAGCCATGTGAGACAAAAATTGTACTAAAACCGTGACATGCAAATGCTCATTGCACATGGGGCTGATGGCTAAGCTAATTGTTCATTTATTCTTTTTTAAACTTAACATTTTAATGTTTTATAATTGTTTGTCTTGTGACCCTGCATTTGGTGAGTATTCTCATACACTGACCTTGGGTTTTTGTGTTACATTTTTTTGTGAAACTTTACAAGATTTTAAATAAAGAATGAAGGGGAAAAAATCAATAGATCAAATTAAATAAACAATATTTAATACATAGCACATATTCCCTTTTTATGGAGGTTGGAATGGATGATTCCATTATTTTCTAGAGGTAAGTTACATAAATGGAAAAATGGCATAGTCATATAGTATGTATTTACAAAACAAACTTATATATGTATTAGATATAAAAAATATATATAAAAAAACCTAGCTAGATATCACAGATTTATCAGTGTGGTACCTATGGATAAATTAACACAAACAAATGATAATTCCATATAAAATTAAACAAGTACATAGCAAACTTTTTTGCAAATCACTAAAGCGCAAGCTCGGTGGTCTAGTGGTTATGATACCAGGTTAGTTATCTGGAGGTCAGAGGTTTGATTCCAAACCGAATCACTTGCAAATTTTTTGTGCAAGTATTTGGGAACATACTGAGTATTTAGTATGATAACACATCAGGTAGGGAAAAACATCGCCTCTCCATAGCAAACGTTTTACTGAAAACACTAGCTTTCACATTGAATGCATCATGTAGTACTACTATACAACACCTAATAAAGCTACAGTTATAGTAAATTAATTTGTTAGTCACAATAGGCTGTGATATCTAATAATATATTGCTTCTATTAATTTCATTACTACTGTGGTTGCCATAGTTATTTTTATTGTTAGTAATATTATTGGTTTTCATACTACTGAGGGAAAGATATTGCTTTTGCTTTTTTATTTTTTTTCCTATCACTATCATTGGCGTACCTTAAGGATGAGGGAAAACGCTCCCCCCCCTCTCCCACCCAGAAAGCTTATACCCCTTCCCCCTCAGTTTTTCCCAATTGAAAATGTCCAAAGCAAAAAAACATGCTTAAGTAGTTTAAAATCACCTCACCTTATTTTGCAAACCTAGCCGCACTCACTTAATCATCGAGACCCCTGCTCCACATTTACACCCCCCTCAGGCCCCCACTTCAAGACTCCTAGATGAGCTTTCCTGACTTCTGAGGTGTCTTTTAATAACTTTTAAGTTCTTCAAAATTCATAGGTAAATTTTCTCATTCTTATTACAGTAAATAGGCCTAGGCTTATTATGTGTGAAATTGGTCAAAGTCCCTGGCCCGTCCCCTGTCAAAATTTCCCGCACAATTCCTGTGGGGATTTTAGCTACTGAGTGCTAAGCCCTGTGCTAAGCCTACCTTTGGTACATCCACAGCAGAGATTGCGAACGGACGGAAAACTTTTCACCATTGGGAACCAGTGCAAATATTGCAGCCTTTCTGGCATGATTGAGTGGCCCTTTCCCTGTCGTCTTTTTAGAAAACACTGCGATTTTGTATACAGTATATTGATGCCGAATAAATAATAATAATAATAATAATAAGGGTAAATTTTGCATGATGATTTGTATTTTTAGGTTTAAAAAACACAATTTCTGCTCAGGTCCTGAAAAGGTAGGTATAGAATTTTTTTCGCTTGGCAGCTCAAGGAGGGGGGGTCAGGACCCCTTCCCCCTCCCCCAAATCCACCAATACTGTTCAATTTCAAATATTGGATAGTCATCAAACTTGTTCCAAGTATACAGCAGCTTAGCGCAGTCGGCTAATCTGGTGGTAGCCACTGTGTGTGCTGCTGAACCGTGGAGATCTCTAGGTCCCCAAGAAGAAATTCCCACTGCTGCCTCTCCTTGTGTTTCAGCTGGAGGGCTGAAATGTAAGTTACAATAGCGCACCGTTTTTCGGATGAGACTTTAAGCCGTTGGTCCTGTGTGCATTTATGGCCCATGTGCACCTTAAAGAATGCAGTACACTTGGCGGAAAAGAGTAGGGTATTGTCTCCCGGTGTGCTGCCCAATCACCACCAGAAGGACCCCACCGGAATAAGTCTTCTTCTAGACTTTTGTAGGCTATCCTTGGTGTTTACACCAAATAAATCCAATCTAATCCATAGATTTAACTAGTAATGTTATAGGCGATTCTGTTATACATCATGCAATTTGTGTTTTCTTAAAAGCATTTCAAGTTAAAGTCAGGTTCAACAGAGATTTGCTCTAAAATTCACTGTAAAATGTTCACTGTCTACCTATAAAGTTAAAACCACTGCATCAAAAACAAAAATGAACACAGACTGGAAAACCACCGGCTTTCATAGGGCAGAGTTCTATAGCATAGTAGTTAGGCGCGATCTCCAAATTATCTCAGACAGCAAAAACGCGTCTAGGTCAACACCCTATCACAAACGCATCTGAAAAATCAACCAGTCTAATTACCACGCTATATGAATATTCATTTGCTACACGCTTAAATTACAGCTCACGTCTGGACTACGGTCAATCGTTTGGACGCTTGTTGATCGTTTGAACGATTTTCTATTGTTTTCTTATACGTACATGTGGCTATACTTTCTCTATGGACCTATATTCTATGCTTGTATGAAGATTTGTAAATTACATGATGACAACATTCCTGGAGGTCCTGGTTAAAGGGGAGGAGCAAAGGCCAAAACGGAATATCAGCCTCCAAGCTATGTACTATTCAAACGGTGTTTTCAGACGCGTTTTGGTAGAACATTAGAAAACACGTCTGAACACTGATTTGTCATCTGGGATAATTTGGAGATCGCGCCTTAACACTCTATCATTAGCAGTATAAAAATGACCTAATTTTGAGTCTTGGTAACATCGAATGTTTTATTATGTTTGTTGTTTAATTTATAATTTCAAACATCAGTTCTCATTATTCCAATGAGAAAAGCCCTATGTTCTGTTTACAGACAAACATAAATTAGTTATCATTCTTACCAGTATTACAATTCTTTTATTCATTTACAAACATGATTTAAGTAATAACTTCCATGCTATCAATTTTCAAATTAAATGTGAAATTTAATTTATTTGTTTTGAAGTGGTCACTTGAAAGCTACAAAAAGCAACAGGACAGCACTAAAACAAATTAGCTTCAATTACCACGTAAAAAACAGACTAGTGTATCAGCTTACATGCATGGTACTACTACTGTTACTGTTATTGTTGTAGTCACATTCATTAGTGCTCTCTGATTCACTAATTTCAAATTTGATCAAATGCTGTCAGCCATGACTTTGGCTTTTATCCTTCCAAATGAATAATTAACAATTATATAGAAGTAGAGACAAATTTTGGTTAATATAAAAAAAATATTATATTAGATAAGATAATTTAAGATAAAGATATATCCTTGAGGTAATAAGCATAGCACTCAATATAGAAACTCCCTTATTATAATGCCATTTTAAACTGTGAATTAATCAGTAAGTTTGAGCATTGAAATGTAGGCGGCGCTAAGCATACATCACAGGTCAATTTGACTTGGCAATGTCGTAGTCTCAAAATAAGCAGGTTATTTTTTTTACATAAGACGAAAAAGGTTTAAATAATTGAGATAGCACATCCCACATCTTATAGTTCACGATGCATATAAACCCTGGTATTATCAAGTACTGTATATAATTGTAATTGAGGTGTCTACTTACTCTTTGAGTATCCTGGTCTCTTTGCTCCGGTAGAAGCAAAAGATTCCTATATTTTTAAAATGAAATTAATCCAAGGATTATATTCATATTATTTCATTTCATTTTATTCAGGAATTAAAATCACAAAACATTTCTTAAATACAGAACAAAAACAAAGATAGGATATATAATTAAGAGCAACAGACATCAATTCCTAGGGTAACTCCAGGAAGATTTAAAATATAAAAAACTTATTTCTTTTGGGGTTTTATATATAGAAACAGTAGTACAATGACCATTATTACTGTATATTTATTTATTTATTTTTTTCTTACTTCCATATATATTTATAAAATCTATTCAGATTTAACTGAATTGTTTCTAAGCTAAAAGGACGACCACATATTTCAAATTTCTAATCAAAATACATAAGTAAGCAAGCCACAAAAATATCAAAATATTATTGCCAACTAAAATGGTTTATTAAAATAAAAAATTTGCATTTATATGGTGAGTCTAAAAAGTGAATAGTTTTTTTTTCTAGTGGAATTAAACATTTAAAACTCTTGGCACATTCAATATGAAGGCTTTTTATAGGGCTTGGATTAATGTTGTTTCATCCTGGTTATTTAAAAAATTTTAATTTTCAGTTAATAAACCTAGGGTTTATAAGGTAAGGTGTTTATCCTCATAAAATTCAAACTGAAGTTCCATTAAGATAAAAAAAAAATGAGTTGAAAACAAACAAAGCATATATAACTATAAAATAAGTAAATGAAATATAATTGTAAATGTTCATCTTGTTTGTAGTAATGATTAAGATTGAGAATTTCTTTCTTAAACAAAATCGGCCCTCTAGAGGTCAGTCTGTATAGTTACATTCATCATCGTGTGGAGAACAGCGGAACTGTTAAGGCAATTTTACCATTCAAGTTTTAATCTTTAGTTTGATAAAAGGAAAAAAGAAATTCTCAATCTTAAATAACATATAATTATCACAAATATAAAAAAAAATATATTTATTTCTTAATAAGATAATACAAGGTCATGTTACAGTTCTTCATATATTGATTAAGGTATTGAAGCATGGACAATAAAGTTATTCAGGTTCAGTAGAGAATAATGGTTCTTTCAAACAAATTATTAAATATATTGATTATGTAAATATTCATTTTCATCACCATTCTTAATATTGATTTTGTGTAAACACATAATAAACACAAGTAGAATAACTATACTGTGTCAAGTGTTGTATTGTTTGCACATCTTTATATCACAGAAACAGATGAAAGTTAATTTAAGAAATTCACATTGGTGTCAAGAAATAAAATAATTTCTGAGAAAAAGTACATTAAAAAAATTCTATGCTTTTTTTTATTCAAAGACTTAATCTTGAAACTAATGACCACATGTTTTTTTTTTAAAATAATATTCTAAAATAGCCCTAAGAATTCAAATCAATATTGTGTGCTGGTGACCTATAATGCTGTACCTTAGTTGGCTTCACCCATAGACCATTCCAAGGCCCTACCTTCGGTCCCACTACGGCAGTAAGCAGCATAGGGGGGCGGATCTGGGTTAACATTAAGGGGGGGGGACTTTTTTTCATAAAAACCCCAAAAAGAAAGGGGTGTCAGGGGGATGCTCCCTGCGAAAATTTTGATTCTCAGATGGTGGGAAATGAGCTTTCCAGACTTCTGAGGTGTCTTTTAATGACTTTTAAGTTCTTCAAAATTCAAGGTTTTCCTCTCTTGAAAACGGTCAGGTAAACTTATTCTTATTATAGTAAATAGGCCTGTTATGTGTGTGTGTATTCATACATTTAAAAAAAATGAGTAAGTTGCATACATACGTATTCTTTTTTTCCATGAATCGATAAATTAATAAAGGGGCTCCGTGGGTTTTCCCCCCGGGAAAAAATTCAAATTCACATGTAAACAAAAAAAAAAAAAACCCTCCCTTTAGTAATCCTGGCTACATACTTTTTATTGGTAGTTCAATGGTTTGACCAAACTGTTTGTATGTTTTTCAAGATATTTTGTATTTTATTAAAATAAATCATGCGACTGTTATTAGAACTGATATGTGGCTGCAAGCTTACTTGTGTATTCCCAGGTAGGACATCAATGGAATGTCTGACTGCTTGTTGAGTCGGCAGAGGCGTTCCCAGTAGCAATCGTCACTTTGGTCATGGTTGAGGGCGTATAACGCAAACAATGCGGGATACAGACGTGGTAACAGTAATGGGTGCATCACACTTTCAATACTTACTTGCACAGCCCTTTGAAAACACAAAGAAAGATCAAATGATACGAAATAAGACGCTGGTCTTATATAGCGCATCAGACCCAAGACCTCTATGCACTTTAAATTATTTCAGTCACTGAATCAAAGCACATACTTCCTCTCACCATAGAGCTCTCATGTGATTAAAGGTAAAAAATAACCTTTGACTTGCAGCTTTAACTGGACAGAAATGCGCACAGTTTTAAACTAACACATTCACAACTTTCTTCTCCCCAAGGGTCACATTATGTCCAATCAGCTGCCAAGAGGCAGGCGTATTTTTGTTTATCCATGACAGAGACTGAATGGATCAGTACACTGGGTAACCCTTGATTTTTCTCAAAGGATGTACCGGGTCCTTTAAACTGTACACAAGAAAAATTGTGTACACTGGGTTTACGATTTAGAGTCCTTATCCGAGAAGACATGCTCCACCACCAGAACTACAGACGGGTGCCTATCCAACCAGCGTTAATGTTATGGCTGTAGGTTGCGGTGTCCCTGCCTTAAACGCTCGGTCATTCGTCTCGTCGGTGATTGTGCTTGAGAGTAGCTTAGGTCAGTTGGCTAAACTGGTTGTAGCCACTGTGCATGCCCTGAATGCTAGAGATCCTGTCAGGTCTTTGGTGCAATGTTCAAATCTAATCTAATTTTGGGCCAATTTAGGCTACTCTGAGACCATTCACAAAATACTAATCCCAAAATTCCCAATTTGTTTTTGTTATGCTGGGTCCTGGCTGATGGAATCCTTTCCAGCAAGAGTTTATCCCCTTGCGTCCATGCTGGCTATGGATCCAAGGATCTTTATGAATATGTTTACACGTGGCAGATTACAATTAACAATTTAGTTACATATACTATTTGTGGCAAAGACAAGCCAAACCAGTCACTCATCGCAAATCCTGTTTCAGAGATAATTGCTAAAACATGCTGGGATGTCAACATTTTTGAAATCTACTTTATTACACTAACCTATATTTTATATATCTATATACCAAGCTATGCTGTTATTTCCCCATTTTCAATGTTAAAACAACAATTTGTAATGATTTAGTAATGTTTTCTGCCTGTGAAATGCCCAAAATCATAATCTTGATGGATGATTTCTCAAATATCATTCTTTAAACAGCTGTACTGTATGTTTAAACTCCTGTAACTTCATAACCATTTCATATCTGTTGTTTTATTATTTAACCCTGTATTAATAACTAAAAATTGATTTTTGTGACGAGTGACTGGTTTGGAATTGTCTTTGCCACATTTTCGTTGTACATAAAAATGGTGTTATCTGCATTCGTACCGGCTGACATCTTTTGTAGGTTTAACTTCTGGCTTGTTTTCTTCCCCTTGTTGCATCATCCCATAGTCATAGTAATACGATAGTTCAGGATTTACTTCCACATTAGGCATTGGTGCAGAAACTGGGACTTCTCCATTGCACATTCTACCAGGTAAACTTGGAAAAAGTACCCTGTGAATAAATAACCAAATCTATGGTGATGTTCGTAGTGAACTTGAAAATAACACCCATTAAAAATAATAGAATGGTCCTTCCCCGTGTGCCTTAAAAGACTGCCCTACACCAGTATGGTTCTATCTATTATATCTTGATACTTGATTGCTTGACCCTTTATTTCTGGGGAAGAGTTCTCAGACTTCTTTTAAAGGATGCTACAAATGGTGCAGAAACAATGTCAGGCCGCAAACTATTCCAGCCATCAATGGCTGTGTTTCCAAAGAATTGCTTCCCAACGTCGGATTTAAATTTATCTTTCTGAAGTTTCTTTGAGTGACCTCTAAGGCCAGAGCGTTGGGTATATACAAAGTGAGGAACAAGAGGTTGCTTGTAACAATTGTTAATGTATTTGTATGTTTTAATAAGGTCATTTTCTTTCCTCCTTTCTTCAAGTGTACTCATTTTTATTTCAGTTGTGCATTTTCTTTGCACTTTTTCCAACTTCATGATATCTTGTTTTAAGATGGGGTTCCATACTACAGCATCGTACTCAAGTATAGGTCTAATGATCGATTTATAAAGGATTGATATCTTTTCTTCAGTAAATTTTGAGAAGCATCGCTTGATCAATCCTATCCGCTGTTTGGCCTTATTGCATATTTTGTTGATGTGGTAACCAGGTTTCATGGTTTTACTAATCAAAACACCTAGGTCTTTTTGTTAAGTTACTTCTTCAAAGGAGTATTTTTTTCCAATTGGAGAAAACAGTGTCAATTGTCAACATATTTAGGAGAGCACTCTCTAAAAGACTAATAATTTTCACTACCCCAACATTTGTAAACATATTATTTTTATTCAAATTCAAATTTTATTCAACCACATAGGGGAACATACAAAAATTCAATACAGTAAACATTAAATACCCAGAATAAGAAACAGCAAATTATTATTTTATATTAAGATTACCAGTAACTAATAATTCCAATCGGGGAGGTGGGTGGCTAGTGGAGCGCACCGAGCCTCACTTGGCTGAGGGCCAAGGGGCCGTCTAGGCCCCCGGTGGGGGGTCCAACTTATGAACTAATGTCTAATGTTCTCTAATGTTGAAATCAGCTTCCAAAACCAAAACAGTTTGAATAACACAAGAAACAAAGAGTATGCAATGTAACTATCTAATTTATTTTCAAATCCTCATTCTTCAAAGTGAAATTCTACACTTTAGAAATTTTGCATGAAATCTGTCAACTACGCTGTCAAGGTGGAGGTTGCTTCCCATATCACGATGTATTCCAAGCATCATGAGGCTATCCAAATGGGCATTTGTCATAACAGAACGCAAATTATTCTTAATTAGTCTCATTGAACTGTTATTATTATTATTATTGTGATGAAAAGTTAACACAAATAGTTCAATGAAAACAATATGGTGGCTAATCGAACACTACATGTTTATTCACCAACAAAATTTACTCGTTTTCCCCGATGGAGGTGCTATAGCCCCCAGCAGCCCCCCCTCCCCGGTGCCACCACTGATTCCAATATGCAAAAATCACAAAAAAAAAAAAACACAAAAAAACCATGTTTCATTCATAATCAGAAAGAGCAAAAGACCCCACTAAGACACAAATAGGCAAAATGCATTCTTTTTTAGCATATATTATCATACTGTTAAATAAGAAATAACAAACAAGGAACACATACTTGACTATGTCACTGAGTCTCTTGACAAAGGATTTGATCTCGTCGACAGCGTACGGCAGCAGTCGTCGATGCGCCCCTATGCCAAGGTACGTATTAGTGAATGCGTGCACAAGGTTATCAACAAGCTTTCCAAGTGGATGCAAGCTGGAGTTGAATGCCTAGTAAGGAAAAGTATACTCTTGAAAGATCATAGACAGGTAAAATTTTGATGGTGATATCTGGGCCAACTGTGATAATTTTGAACCTCAGGGAAGAAGCTATTACAAATTTTCATCCACAGGAAATTCTGAACGTGGGAAAGATCAAAATTCTTACAAAAAATACACAACCTCCCACTATAATTCATGGTATCTTTCTAATAAAAATTCAGACAAATAATGATGATGAAAATAATGTGAATGACGATTGATTTTCATGTATGCAAACAAATAGTTGTGGCCTCAGCCTTTAATAATTATGACGATGATGATGTCCTTTTCAAAACCTCCAATCATTGTTTTGTAAGTCACTGGGCCCACAGGCATGTACTATTGATGGCTTACAATTAAACAACTAGTCTAAGCTGTTATATAATAATTTAATACAGTATAGTAATAAAAAGTATGACTTGCATAATGTAATCAAGTAATGTTCTATTTCTCGAAACTGTAATTGAGTACCGGTATATACAATAAAGTTGAAATGGAAATGACTTACAGTGAAAAAGGTACCCCACTGTGAGCAAGCTTTAATTGTGGGGTCCTGAACATAAGAGTGTGTCTAAATAATATAACTGATTCAATAAGATGCTCAATAATTGAAGAGAAACAAAATGGAAATAAAATAAATTAATAAAGAATAAAAAATATAATTTATGTGATGCAATAAACTAGGGAGCAACAGCGGCGGAACGTTTTTTTTTGGGGGGGTCCAGTATGCCAGCGAAGCGAGCATGTAGCCTGGGGGCCACCAAGGGCCCCGGTGGAAGCCCCCTGGAAGCTACTTATGTTTTACGAAGTTTGGTGAATTTTATAAGTTATTTTATAGGCATCAAGCTACTGTAATATGATTTCATATTTGTAGTAATTTCCAGTGGCTGATCCAGGAATTCGAAATAGAGGGGGCCAGTGAGGGTACTTTCACAGATAGAAGATCTATACTAACCCAGCCCAACCATGCTGAGGTAAGAATATTTGTGATTATGGCACCTCTAGATGGCTGGAAATTGCACTTCCAGACATAAAATTTGAATATAATTATCTTTATATCTCCATTTTTTTATTGAACAATTTAGGGGGTGGGGGCGTGCCGGCTGGGTCCCCTTGAATCTGCCACTGGGTACTTCAGCAGATGGAGAATCTATACCACTTCAGCCCCACCATGGTTGTGGCTGAGGTAAGAAAATTTGTGATTATGGCACCTCTAGATGGCCGGAAATTACACTCTCAGACTTAAAATTTCAATATAATTTTCCTTATATCTCCATTCAAAAAAATTGAACAATTTAGCACCCCCTCCCCTTGAACGTGCCACAGATTTCCGAACAAAGTCGAAGTCAAGATTGCTTCCACAACCTCAATGAATTAATTATCATGAGGGTTATCCTTGATATGGGTTCCCCGACAAAAACTTCACTTTTCCCCCGATGGATGAAAATTACCCTTCTATAAATGTCATATAGCCGTCGGAATCATTTTGCAAGTGGTCCGGCCATTAGTCAGAGCAGGGGGTGGGGTACTTAACAATTTTGGTTGTACCCTCACTGTTTTATAAGTCATTTACTTTAATATTCATTCTGCTATATCTGTCATCCCGGAAATGATACTCCAACTGTGGCGGGTCCAGGAAGTCAAAATAGAGGGGTTCCAGGGAGGGTCTTGTGAAAAAAATAGAATGCACACTCGCCTCAGCCCCACAACAGTTGTGGGGCTGAGGCGGGTGGGGGCTGAGGCGGGTGGACATTCTATTTTTGGACAGTTTTGGACAGGAAACCGACGTAGTGAATTTTCATGTGATACGTCGATTTTCCACTATTTGACAGGAAACCGCGATTTTTTTGTTAAATGAACTCGCATACGTTGCATTGCAAACGATTCTTATGAAAAGTTCTCCAAGTCAACTTTTCATAATAAACGTAAGCGGAAACATATGCTGTCTGTATATTTTGCTTATATATCTTGTCTATACAACAACATTGTCGACGAACTAGAACTCTCATTGACTTACGTATTGATAATAAAATGGTTAAAAAGAAGCATATCCTCCATTTTTTTCTAACACAATGATAGGCATGTAAAATCTTATAGATTTTGTTAGCCCTATACACAGTGGCGGCTCTAGGATATA